GTTTCGTTCCGTTTGTAAGAATATTGCTTTCAAATAAAGTCATTGTTCGATATTGTTATGTTGAATTTGTCAGTGGAATGAAGGTCAATAAATTAATGATTTTTTTACCATACTGCAAAATTTTCTCCTCCGTTAGTCATCCTATTTAAATAACAGCTAGTCTTTTTTTTTTTTAATGAATTTCAGTACTATTCCTTAAAAAGCTAGCAGTTGATGAGATAGAGGCCATATGTAACTTGTAATTCACCCAAAAAAAACTAAAGCTGTAACATGTGATCATCATAAGTGCATTAATTTGTAACCAACAACTTACTTTAATTCTTTCTATCATTCTGATGAAACAAGTTAATTCAACCTTAAAATTTTGTATTATTTTTGACAGGTGACACGTAGTTCCACCATATATTACTGTCATAATGACGCATTGTTCATTTGTTATTTTGGAGGAATGTTAAATTCAGTAGATTGAAGAATATATTGGTTGTTTAATTCACACAATGAGTCATTGTCCATTTGTTATGTTTTTATAATCTACGCATCAATATAAAGCCCACCATATTTCAGCGGGAAATTACAAATTATGCACTAATTGTTGGAGTAACATATAAGTCTATTTAGTATGAGGGAAATGGAAAGGAAATAGGAAAATTTTAATGGATCCTCATTCAATGCTTATTACAACGATGAATACTATGTGCTTATTATTATAATTGTATCTAGACTATTCAGAATTTAATGTGAATGGTTCACATTTAAAATTTTTAGTATACAATTTTTTGAATAATAATTTGTTTTTTGAAAATGTTAGCCATACGACTATCTTTATTTTGAATTATGTATCTATTAAAATAAAAAAATTAATTAAAATGTATGAAAAATTTATATTCAATATGCACCATTCAAAATTGATCTGAATGATCCAAATTAAGATAAGCACTTCATGCTAATCATGGTGATGAGCATGGAATGTGCTCTTAATTTCAAAGTGTTCGATTTAAAAAATTAAAGAAAAGATATTAAAAGCTTGTAATTAATTTTTCCACCCATTTTAGCTTACATCTTCTTTTTATTAAAATTTTATTACCCCATTTTTTTTAATTTTTCAAATTGAATTCATTGAAATTTTTTCTCCTCCCCATTTTGCTCGTACTAAACATACTATATTATTGAAGTAGTTTAGTAGCTTTAGGATTTCGGAGAGATGTCCATTGATATTTCAATTCAAAATAAAACTAAATCGTTAGTTTTAACCATTCTTTATGGTTAATAAATCACTACTGCCGCAATAACTAGCTACATTATTATTCAATCTAATCTCATGGCCTCCGTTTGAACATAATTTTAAGTAACCATAATCAAATAACAAATGAAGACTTTTTTATTTCGGCTAGCAAGTGAAGAATTGATTGAAAGGATGAAGTTCAAAGTTGGACATGCACAACATATTGTATGATCAGTGTTAAATATCACCGGTGATCTATCTACAAACTACACCAACAGTATAGTTATCCGGTTCTTAATATATATAAGATCTAGTTTGTGGTTCAAATTGAATTACAAACTACTCAAGTTTAATCAATTTAGAGGATGCATGGGTTTGTGTTACAATGCAAGTAAAAAGTATATCAAATGAATGTACATTTAAAGAGTATACTTATCAGTATGCATGCTTTTGGTATATCGTTGATTTGATCAAGAAGCATCCCATCCCTAATTTGTACTTGCTTCGTTGTTGTCCCCAGCTCTCCAGCAACCTTTTCTAAGCGTATATGTCCCTATTTATCGTCTTTTCTCCCACGCCTTGTCATCTTTTCTTCTAGTCAGGGATCCCTCTTAAGGGAACCCTGAAGTATAGCCTTATGTGATTCCAGCTCCATGACTGCTTTGTAAAGCTGAATCACTCACTAGACGAACTCTTTTTCTGTAAAAAAAACAAAAGAAAAAAGAGAGAAGCAAATTCAATTAAGAGATTTCATAGTTTCGCTGCTTACCAAAGTTTCCGCCAAACCTGTTTCTTGTAAATTAGATTAATTCCCTCCACAACTCTTTTTTTAAAAAAAAAAACCCAATTTATCTTAGAAAATGTATAAATTGGGTACCAATTATGTTCGCATGATTACTGAAATAGGATAGCAGCTTGACAAAATTCCTCTAGATATCCACAAATTAAGCTTTCCATTCAAAATATATATTTACGCTAAATCAATAATTTTTACCATTATTATCAACCACTGTAGCAATAATGACAACATTATTTCATTGATCTCATGGCCAATGAAATCACCATATTTGATTAACAAATGAAATAACTGAAAGGATAAGAACCAAAATTGAACAGATGAAGAAATAGCTATAGTATTTAGATGTAAAAACAAAAAAAAATCCATTTGTTGCTACTTTTATTAGAGAATCAGATAGGGAAAAATACCTAAGTTTCTTGCTAAAGCATATATCAGCCAATATAGTCATTTATCAACATACCTTTGGTGTATCGTTGATCTGATAGGCAAAATTCAACACGCAATAATATTCAATGATACTTCTACCCTTTGCCTCTTCATCATTGTCATAAGCTTTGTTTGACTTGATAGTTAACTACACAAAAGAAAGCAAATAACAACACGATAAATTGATTTTTTTAATCCAAACCAAATAGAAAAACAAGAGAAAACATACAACAAATACAAAGACTTAGATCCAAACTAGACAAAAACCATACCTAAAATTATCAAAAACAAGAAAAGGATGCCAAAAACCAAATAGAACCACACACAAAAAAATTAAGGAAAAGGGATTGAAATGACACTGCCATAATATGAACAAGGAAGCTTCTAGATCCTAGCCATCACCACCATAGAGACTTAACCACTACCTTCCAGTTCATCAACCACAGAGCATTTCATGCGAGATCTAAATAAAATTGAAATAGTTGATGATTTTGATTTAAAAGTACCTTCATCATAATTCTAATTAGTCTATACGGATCCTCCACCGACATCACCATCCACACACACACACACACAATCCTTGAAACCCCTCAGCCACAAACCCAAGCAAAGGAACAATTGCTCTCACTAAAGGAGAGAAAGGAGCAAGACTCGATCGTTTGTAACATAGACAATTAATTCAGTACTCTCTTCTCTCTAAAATATCTTGTCAATGACTTGTAAATCAAACCCTACAACAATTGTGAGGGTGCGGTGTGTGAGAGAGATAGAGAGAGTAGTTTTTAGGGTTAAGAGAGGAGGAAGAGGGATGAGGCGGCTAGGGCTAGAGAGGATTTAAAAAGGTTTAAAATAGTTATAGAGGTTAAAGTATAACACTAAAAAGAAAAGTTCTCTTGATTTTTCTATGGAATGTTTTGCTCATTGAGGATAATTTTTAATTAGAGAAGAGTACCTGATTTAAATTTTCATTTATACAATGTATCTTATTACATACTATGTATCTAATTTTCCTTTCTTTATGATGAGTGTGAATTAATGGATGCCAATGTACAAGGAATTGAGTAATTATGGTATGACATACAGTCAAGAAACCCTTCTATTTTTTCTTTTTGCTAACAGTCAAGAAACCCTTTTAAATGTTTGACAAAATTTTTAAATAAATTTAGATCTTTAGGTTTCTAATGTTTATATTGATTTTCATTCTCTTATGCATTCCGTCGATTTCTTTTTATAAGATACAAATAATCAAATTATATAAATAAAAATGTTAGTTAAAATTGGTTAAAGACAATAAATACGTAAAAAAAATATAACTTATTTTTTGAAAAATAACTTTATTTATGGAGAGGGTGAGTGAGATAAAATGAGTATGAAAACTGGAAAAGAGATGAAAGAGAATAATTATAAAAAGAGACAAAGAGAAAGACATGGTATTAATTGGGATAAAAATTAAAAAATATATATCGGATGTTCAAACATCTCTATAGCCTATAGAAGGACCTGAATTATTTCAAAAATTGTAACATATAAAAGAAAACATATATGAACAATAAATATCTTTTCACATTTCTTATTATAATGCTGTCTCGTTGCGTTGTTTTACTTCTATATCTCAACAAGTCAGCGTACATACTTAAGGACAAAAAAGCATTCACTGTACTTTGAAACTATCCCTACGAAACCATTTCATCATGAGCAAACAACAAATTAGGGATGAAATTTTTATTACTAATTAGTTTAGTTAAGAAAAAATTTCACCAGTGATTAGTGACGGAATGTTCTGGTTTATGCTAAAACTATGGTTTGAATTCTTAACCTCACGGATGCACATCAAAATCTTTGCTTTTGATTGACCTTTAATCACGCGCATCTAGCCTTTATAAGTGTGTCTAACATTTTAATAAAAAATATTCTGTCGTACGCACTTGCTATAAGCTAAGATGCGATATTCAAAAGTTATCTTATACACGGGAAGAATTAAATAACCATGATCAATTAACAAATGAAGCACTTTTTTTTTTATTATTTGGGCTAACACGTGAAGAATTGATTGAAAGGATAAAGTCCAAAGTTGGAGATGCAAAAAAATTGTATGATGAGTGTTAAATATCACTGGTGATCTATCTATAAACTGCACCAACATAATTTCAAAAGTATTATATGGTACCTCCGCTCCTTAATATAATATATAATTTGTAGCTCAAATTGAATTACCAACTATTTAAGTTTAATTAATTTAGAGAATGTATGGGTTTATTTTACAATGTAAGTGCAAAAATAAATCAAAATGAATGTACAATTAAAAAGTATACTTACCAGTATATGTGCATTCGGTCTATCGTTGATTTGATTGGCAAACATCCTATTCCTGATTTGTACTTCCTCCGTTATTGTCCTCAGCTCTTCAACCACCTTCTCTAAGCGCACACATGTCTATGTGTCATCTTTTATCCCACACATTGTCATATTTTCTTCTAGTTAGAGATCCCTAATTAGGGAACCTCAAAGTGAAACCTCCGTTGTGCGATTCCAACTCCATGACTACTTTGTAAAGGTGAATCACCCACTAGAAAAACTCTTTTGCTGTAAAAAAAAAAAGTAAATTCAATTCAGAGATTTCATAGCTTCATTGCTTTCCAAAATTTCCACCTAACCTGTTTCTTGTAAATCAGTTTAATTCTCCTAAAAACTCTTAAAATATTTATTTTAGAAAATGTATAAATTGGGTACTAACTATGTTGAGATGATTACTGAAATGGGATAGTAGCTTGACAAACTTCCTCTAGGTATCTACAAATTAAGCTTTCGATTCAAAATATTTGTGCTAAATCCATAGTCTTTTACCGTTATTTTTAATCCAGACACTGTTGCAATAATGTCTACTTTTATTTGGTGTCATGGCCAATGAAATAATCATATTAAATTTACAAATGAACCAACTGAAAGGATAAGAACTAAAGTTGAACAAATGAAGAAATAGTTATGGTATTTAGATGTAAAAACAGAAAAATATCCGTTTGTTGATACTTTTATTAAAGAACCAAATAGGAGGAAATGCCCAAGTTTCTTGCTAAAGCATGTCAGCCAAAATACTCATAAATTTATTAATATACCTTTTGGTATATCGTTGATCTGATAGGCAAAAATCAACATGCTATAAGATTCGATGATACATCCATCCTCTTTGTCTTCATTGTTGTCATAAACTTTCTCTGGTTTGATGATTATCTACACAAAAGAAAGCAAATACTAACACAATAAATTGATTTTTCTTAGGTATAGTTGTTAAGAAGATTTATTATTCTGTTTAATATTTGGGTTAGTTATTCTGTTGTATAAGACTCATCCTTTCTTGTATTGGGCCTCGGTCCAGAAAGTCTGCACAAGTAGAGGTGCTGTCACTCTCTACAAACACAATGTACTGGTCCTCTGGGCCTTTCCTTCAATAATAGTTTTGTATTATTCAGTCAATACCATGAGTTCATATGGTATCTAGAGCAAGGTCGTCTGGGCCACACCAACATAAGCCCAATCCTGCTACCTGCGCACAGACAGGGAAGAACTCAGTCAAAGAATGGTGTCGTTCTTCTGAGAAACTGAAGAATAGCTTCTGCAAGTCCAAATGAAGCGTTCTGTACATGAACCCTACCAGAACTGCGACTCACGGCTGAGAAAGGAGTTCTGCACCGTCATTCTTTCTTCATTCCGTCATCGCTGTTACTTTCCCGTAGACATCCTCACAAGAACGCCTCAAGATTCGGTTATTTTTTTCCTGTAAGTGTTTGGTCGAAATTTCCTCCAGCTTTCTTTCGCAGTTCTCTACCTCTGTCCTGTCAAGATTTGCAATTCCATGGGAAAAGACAATGAAACCGTCCCTCTCTCTCCCTCAACCATCGATTTTAGTCATCCCTTGTATCTCCATCCATCTGATACTCAGGCTGTGACGCTGGTTTCACAAGTATTGTGTGGGTCTGAAAATTACGCCGTGTGGAGTCGATCCATGCACCTAGCTCTCTTTGCCAGAAACAAATTGGGATTTATTGATGGAAGTTGCCTTCGGGAGAAACAAGAGGAGAGTCTTCGGGGATTATGGGATCCCTGTAACGCGATTGTACTTTCTTGGCTTGTTTACTCTGTTGATAAACAACTTGCCACTGGAATTGTCTTCTCCTCCAATGCCCGTTCAGTGTGGCTGGACCTGAAAGAAAGGTTTCACAAGGCCGATGGAGTCAGAATATTTACCATTCATAAGGCAATTACTTCATTGAGGCAAGGTACGATGACTGTTGCTGAATATTATACCAAGCTTCGGGACTTATGGGACGAATATGATTCCCTTGCACCAATTCCAACTTGTCAGTGCCCAAGTACACAAGAGTATGCTAAATTGGTATAGCAACAAAGGCTATTACAATTTCTATCTGGGCTAAATGACAACTACCATCAAGTGAAGACTCAAATACTTTTGCAGTCACCTCTCCCAATTGTTAATCAGGCGTACTCTTTAATCTGCCAAGATGAGTCCCAACAACTAATTTCCTATCCACCTCCAAGTCATCCAACCGAGGGTGCTACTATGGCTACAAGGGGAGGACGTCAAGGACGCGGAAGAGGGCGAGGCAGATCACAAGAGGAATGCTCCCACTACCATCGTAAGGGACATAAGTGAGAAAACTGCTATCACATTGTGGGTTTTCCTCCAAATTTTCGTAACAGACAAGCTCAAGCTTCCACTGCTAATCACACATCAAATACTTCCTTATCCCCTGCTCAAACGCCTATCACTCAGCAGCAATATGATCAAATCCTCAAGCTTCTCCAAAGGGAGAAAGGAGACATTGCTGTAATTACAACCGATCACATTGAGGAAACCATTTCAGGTGCTGTTCTTGTCCTTCCTAGATCTTTTTGTGATTCATATTGGATTTTAGATTCAGGTGCTACATGTCATTTAGTAAATAGTATAGATATGTTTGACACTGTGGAAAAATATGAAGGACCAGTTAGGCTCATTATGGTTCCTAATGGTAGTAAAATGCTTATCACCCATGTAGGGACTATAAAATTATTAGATCATATCATTTTACAGGACGTCTATTATGCCCCTGGTTGTTGTTACAATTTAGTTTCTGTTTCCAAGTTAACTGCCAATCAAGATTTTGTAGTCTCCTTTTACTCTAATTATTGTACCTTGAAGGAAATCTCTCTTGGAAAGACAAGGAAGATTGGTAGGCTCCTTAGTGGACTCTATATCATTGAAAGAATCCCACAAACCGATACAGTCATGAATATCACCACTCAAAACCTTTGGCACCTTAGATTAGGACATGCCCCCATAGATAAACTTAGACATTTAGATATGGTAAGAAAAGAAGTTCCTATAATCATCAATGATAAATGTGTCATCTGTGCTCAAGCCAAACAACCTCGACTGCCATTTTCATCTAGTGAGTCTAAAACTTCTCGTTGCTTTGATTTGATATATGTGGATGTCTGGGGGCCTTATAGAGAACCGACTTATAAGGGACATCGGTATTTTCTTACAATTGTTGATGATTTTTCCAGATGTACTTGGACATTTCTCATGCTTAATAAAAATGAATCTGTTTTTCACTTGAAGAGTTTCATTGCCTACGTTGATACTCAATTTTCTACTATTGTGAGACGAATACGTACTGACAATGGCCTGGAGTTTCTTAATTCTGAATTAAAATTACATTTAACTAGTAAAGGGATTATTCATGAGACTACTTGTCCTTGTACACCTCAACAAAATGGGGCAGTAGAACGTAAGCATAGGCATCTTTTAAATATGGCTAGGAGTTTGTGCTTTCAATATGCTACACCTTTAAAATTCTGGGGGGAAGTGTTCACCAAATAACTTGACCGCAAGTGGATGGGTCGCAAGTAATATAAAAAGTATTGTTCCCTCAGAGACTAAGGCTAGATGAGTTGAAAAACCATAATTGTGTATTTGATTAGGTTAAGTGAAATAATTGTTGTTGTTGTAAAATGAAAGTTAAGAAAACAATGGTTTAAAGCAGTATAAAATCAAATCGACCTTGAAACAATTAATAGACTAGGGTTATTCTTCACTAAAGTACTTCATGAAACTGGATTAATTACTTCTCAAATAGTGTTTTACAATAAATTCAGTTAGCTTGGGTTTATAGAATTGATTAAGCTTTCTCAAGTCAAAACCAAATGTTGCAAACACCATTAAAACACAGCAATCTCTTGCATTTGTTTGAAAAGGTTGCTCTTTAAAAACCAAAACCCATTTAGTCTATGCTAGGTCAAACAAATACATCTCTGATCAATCGACAAACCATCTATTCACTCAAATAAATTTCTGGACTAGCATGGTTTACCTAAGTTCACGAATTAGTCTAACTTTCTCAAGTTAAACTAATCAACCAATCAATCCAAATGATGGCCAGACAAAAGGAAGCATTAAGCTCAAAGTAAAAACAACTGAATATTATCATTAACACTAAAGAGATAGTAAAACCCAAGTCTCAATCCATACAATAGATCAAATAACCCTAGAAAAACGGATTTAGCTATACATGGCAAGTAAAGAACTACAACTATAGGAATATCTAGTAGTCATAGCAGAAACAAGAAGGGAAGAAGAAGGAAACCCGGAAAATTTAAGATACAAGCTTTGAATCTCTTCTAGCTTCAAGCCCAAAAGTTCCAAGCCTCCAAAACTCCAAACCCTAGTAGAGCTAGCCTCCAAAATTGCTCCAAAAGTCGAACTCACCCAGAAAACCCCGTCTCTCACTCTATAAGCCCTAATTTTTAAGTTAGGAAGTAAAACGCACAGCTGCGAGGGGCCCAAGCGCCGCGGCGGATTGCTTCAGGCGCCGCGGTGCCTATTACAGAATGGATTGTGACTCAGGCACCGCGGCGCCTGAAGCAAGATTATGCTTGTACTGCTGACACTTCTTTCAAGTCTTTGGTAGGTTATGCATGCGTTGTTGATAAGCCAGATTTAGATCTCAAAGGTAAAAGACAGGTAAAATACCCTATGCAATCTTTTCTCTCTTATTCACATCTGTCACTTAATTATAAATCTGTGCTTTCAAATATTGATAGTATTGTCGAGCCATATAATTATGAAGAGGCAGCTAAAGACCAGAGATGGGTTGATGCAATGAAGGCAGAAATAAAGGCCCTCCAAGATAATGGTACATGGGAACTAGTGGATTTGCCAAAAGGGAAAAGACCTATAGGTTGCAAATGGGTCTATAAGGTGAAATATAATGCTAATGGCAATGTGGATAGATTTAAGGCAAGATTAGTTGCAAAAGGGTATAGTCAGCAAGAAGGGGTGGATTATTTTGAAACATTTTCACCTGTCATTAAAATGGTCACAGTTAGAGTAATTCTTAACATTGCAGTGATGAATGATTGGGGCATATATCAAATGGATATACATAATGCCTTTCTTCAAGGTGACTTGAAAGAGGAAGTGTACATGAACATTCCATAAGGATTTGGCAATACAAAACCAAATAAGGCATGTAAATTAACCTTATATGGTCTCAAACAAGCATCAAGGCAATGGAATGCCAAGCTCACTGAAGCTCTTTTAAAAGGAGGTTTTAGGCAGTGCATGTATGATTATTCTCTTTTCATAAAGCAAACTGATTCTGAAATTACCTTGATATTAGTTTATGTAGATGATCTAGTAATAACTGGGAACAAACCTGAGAGAATCAATGAGGTTAAGAGGTTTCTACACAACAAGTTTAAGATCAAAGATTTGGGACAGCTTAGATATTTTTTGGGGATTGCGGTAGCAAGGTCCAAACAGGGTCTGATTCTTAATCAGCGAAAATATACCTTGGATATCTTATCTGACATGGGTTTGACAGCAGCAAAGCCTCTTAGTGTTCCAATCGAGAGGAGCACAAGATTGAGTGGCAATCCAAAGAATGAGAAAGATGATCCACTACTACCTGAACCGACTGCCTATAGGCGCTTAATAGGTAAGTTGTCATATTTAACAATTACTAGACCTGATATAAGCTTTGCTATGCAGGGGTTGAGTCAATTTGAATAACCCAAGAAGATCACATATGAAAGCAGCAATGCAAGTAGTGAGATATCTCAAAGGAACACCAGGACTTGGGATCTTGCTCACTGCATCAAAGAACTCTCAGTTAGAATGTTATGTGGATTCAGATTGGGGAACATGTCCAGACACAAGAAGATCTGTAACTGGCTATGTTGTAAAATTTGGAGGATCACCAGTATCCTGGAAATCAAAGAAGCAAAATACAATTTCCAAGTCGTCAGCTGAGGCAGAGTATAGGGCACTAGGTAGTGCTGTTTCTAAAGTAGTCTGGATTACTAGATTACTGAAAGATTTGAATATAAATGAATTAGAACCTGTTCAAGTATTTTGTGACAGCAAGTCAGCTATTCATATTGCAAATAATCCAGTTTTTCACGAGAGAACTAAACATATAGAAATTGATTGTCATTTTATTAGAGAAAAGTTGTAGCAAGGTGTCATAAATCTACAACATGTGAGAAGCAAAGAGCAGCAAGCTGATATATTTACAAAGGGCTGGGAAGGAAGATCATCAAAGGATTATGAGCAAGTTAGGGACCATGAACTTGTATGCCCCCAAACTTGAGGGGGAGTGTTAAGAAGATTTATTATTCTGTTTAATATTTGGGTTAGTTATTCTGTTGTATAAGACTCATCCTTTCTTGTATTGGGCCTCGGTCCAGCAAGTCTGTATAAGTAAAGGTGTTGTCACTCTCTACAAACACAATGTACTGGTCCTCTGGGCCTTTCCTTCAATAATAGTTTTGTATTATTCAGTCAATACCATGAGTTCATAATAGTGTTTGTTTATTTTGAATCTAAATATTTGTATTTGGTTACACACACACAAAAAAGGACGCCAAAATCAAAAGGGGCCCCAAAAAAAAAACTTAAGGAAAAGGTCGAAATGACACCACCACAACATGAACAAGGAAGCTCCTAGATCCTAACCATCACCACTATAAAGACTTAAACCACTACCTCCCAGTTTACCGACCACAAAGCCTTTCATACCAAATCAAAATAAAATTGAAATAGCTGATGACTTTGATACAAAAGTACCTTCATCATAAATCTAGATCCGAACGATTCACCATCAATTAGTCTATTAGATGATGGATTCTCCACCACCATCACTGTCCACACACAAGAACCCTCAAAAGCCACAAGCCACAAACACAAGCAAAGGAAAAATTGCTCTCACAGAAGGAGAGAGAGAAACGGAGACTTAATCATTTGCAACATATATAGATAATTGATTCAGTACTGTGTTCTCTCTAAAACATCTCGTAAATGACTTGGAAATAAAACCCTATAACAATTGTGAGCGTGCGGCATGAGAGAGAGAGAGAGAGAGCAAAGAGAGAATTTTCAGTGTCAAGAGAGGAGGAAGGGATGAGGTGGCTAGGGCTAGAGAGGAATGAAGGAGGTTTAAACTAAATGCTAAGAGTAGTGAGTAAATAGTTATAGATAAATCCTAACCATCAAGTTCAAAATAAACCCTATAGGTTAAAAGATAAGACTAAAAAAAAAAAAACAGACAGGTCTCTTGATTTTTCTATGAAATGTTTTGCCCATTAAGGGTAATTGTTAATTAGGGGAAGAAGAGTAACTATTTTAAATTTTTATTTATACAATGTATCTAGTTATGTACTATATATGTATTTAGTTTTCCTTTCCTTATGTTAAGTGTGAATGGACGCCAACAATGTACAGGGAATTGAGTAATTATGGTATGACACATGGTTAATAATTAATAAACCCTTTTAAATGTTTGACCAAATTTTCAAATAAATTTAGATCTTTAGATTTTTATTGTTTGCGTTCATTTTTATTCTCTGATGCATTTCCTCAGCTTTTATTTATAAAATACAAATAATCAAATTATATAAATAAAAATGTTAGTTAAATTTGATTAGAGACAATAAATACATAAGAAAAATGCAACGTATTTTTCAAGATATTTTTTTATTTATGAAGAATGGTAATAATCCTGATCAACAGACGCTAGCATGGCACCACCAACCGACATGCCCAAATGTTGATTTTAATTTTAATGGACAAAGTCCAAGTAAATTTGACTCATAAATTCTTGTAGTTTCTTTTTTTTATTCGTTATTAATTTATCAATTTGTTCGCACTTTGACAGCAGAAATGTATTAATAAGTGTGAATTGTCATGTATGGTTTCCTTGCAAGATTGCTTTTAAATAGAGTCATTGTTCGACATTGTTATTCTTAGGAAAAAAATTTTAATGTATAAATATTTTCTTCCATCTCCTATGCCAATACAATCTTATTGCAGTAAAGAGAATGAGAGATACTAAAAGTTTTATAGCCCAGTGACATAAAGATTCTCTTGTAAGGGAGATTGCGAATTTGACGTCACTTATAATTTTAGGTCGTCAACACCCCTCGAATTCGGGGGAAAAAAGGAAGGGAGCGCCGGGGGACGACAAAAGATGGAAACAAATTGAGGAGAAAAAAGTCAATTGGATTTGATTTGACCATCATGATGACTATAATTCTCATTCAAAGTTCACTTGTTTTGATGCGAAGAAACTTTGATCCACAAACACCACCTTCGATTGTTTCAGGACAAAGCTGAACAATGTTCACACGTACAAGAGTAATTTTGAGCCTAGTAAGAAGTAAGAACAAACCCTTTCAAATCATTTACGGCAGAAAACAAACATATAGATCGATGTCACGTATCAGATCAAGCAAGGCTACGCTAGCCGATTGGACTGTGCAACTCAACCCAATCAACCTTCCCCTTTTAGCCTTTGACTCAATTTGGTTAAATTTGGCCAGAAAATAACATGGAAGGCATGCTAGATGAACATCCCTACTATTTACTTAAGAACGTCATCAGAAAATAAAGCTACAACTTTAGAAGAGAATGTGCTTTAGGATATTAGAGACCATGAGTCCTCTCAATTGAAAAGACTGATAAAGTGATCGTGTGTTGAATTTAGACAATGGAGATCAAAATTGTTTTAGTCTAAATCGCAGTTTTCCTTCTTTATTTTGCGTTTCTTTTTGTGGCCCCCAATTTTGTTCTCTTTGAAACCCAAACGAACATGTCACTAGAGGAGAACCCACGAAATTAAAAACTTTCGAGCGCTCTCATCAAAACTGAATCTTTCAAAATCAATAATTGACCACTACATGGACCTGTTGCCATTGAGAGGAAATGCTGCAAAAAGGAAAACATGAAAATCCTAGCCCTGACCAAACTGGCACTTCATCCGTTCATCAGTTTGCCATGTATGTTAAATAAATAGTCCACACATAGGCGCAGGAACTGTTCATCAATGGCTGCACCATTCGCAAAACGAAGATAAAGCTGAGCAGCTAGAAGAGTTCATTCATTAACATCAAATTGAAAGTCGAAACAGAACAAAAATTATGAACAGAGAGGAGCGTTAGTTTATAATATACAAACCTGTAACTGAACTTGAACGAATTTGAATGTCACAAAATCACAGACAGGCCAAAACACAGCACTGCCCAGAAGTGTGGGAAGCAGATCACGCTTCAACTTAGCAACTATTTCAGAAACACTTTCACCTGAAATTGGCACAAAATTATACATCAGAATTACAACAGTGTTATGCCACAAAATGAGGAGAAAAATTGCATCAGCTGACTTGAAATAAGCATTAATGAGACATCAATTTAGTGTGTTACATGCAGCACAGAGCATGCCCGTTATATGACCCAAATCTGATGATAGGACCAAGTACAGCCTGCCCCATGAAAATTTTCTTCAAGGTTGATGGCACATCTGTCTTTGGGAAAACCTTGGACAAGAATTTAAACCACATATGTTGTGATGGCCCCATGATGAATAACGCATATGTTCCCATGCTCAATGTCCTTTTCAAGTCATAGGAAGCAGACTCCGATGGCATGGTAATTGTCTAGCATGTATAAATCACTAAGTTAGCTAAGGCACAAATACTAAGATAAAACCGGGAAGGATAAGACAAGCAGGGAAAGAATGTTCTCTAACTGGACAACATAATCATGTATAAGGTTCATTGTCAGGAATTTGTTAGAAATAGACAACTGCTTCTTTGTTTGAATAAATATATAAATGAGATAAGGAGGACATTTTACTAAAGAATTTTTAAAGGCATTTCACATGAAGCATACAATGACTTTCCACTTTTTAATGTCAAAATAAACTAGGAGCTTGTTAATGGCAATTAATTCCATTAATTTAAACACGAATTGAACCTTTTAAATATGGATGAGTTAAGACTTAGCCAACCCAATAGAACAATTAGGTTGATTGGCACCCAAATTTGAATACTGAAAACAAAGTGGTGCTAATCAAATTTAGGCAGATAATATTAACACAAAGTAAATTGTACTCAAATGTCATTCCATGAAGTCAAAATTCCAGCAGCATTACCCCCCCCCCCCCAAGTCATTTTATTGTCATAATTTTTTACATTAGTTTTATGGTAAAATTTGTAATATATGAGCTCTTGAATATCGCACCATAGCTTATAGCAAGTACGTAAGATAGAATAATTTTTATTGAAATTTTAGACACACTGATAAAGGCTAAATGCGTGGTTAAGGGTCAATCGAAATCAAAGACTTTGATGTGTGTAGCATGTATCAGAACATGCCGTCACTAACCACTGATGAATTTTTTTCTTAACAAAACTGATTAGTAATAAAAATTTCATCTATAATTTGTTTTTTATTCATAATGAAATGGTTTCGTACGAATAATTTTTATTTAGAATTTCATTGTTTCAATGTACAGTGAATATTTTTTCCCCTTAAGTATGTACATTGACTTGTTGAGATGAATAAGTAAAAGAATACAACGAGACAAAATAATAAGAAATAAGAAAAGATATTCATTGTTCATATAGTTGGCGTTTTTTATATGTTACAAATTTTTTAAATAATTGATTAGGTCCTTTTTATAAGCTACACTTTAGAAATGTTTGAATATTTGATTTTTTTTTTTTAATTTTTGCCCCAGTTGATAATATGTCTTTCTCTTTGTCTCTTTTTCTTAGTCATTCTTGCTCATCACTTTTTCTACTCATTCTCTCTCACTCAACCTCTTCATAAATATTTTGAAAAATAAATTGTATTTTTTTGTATTTTTTCTCATCTTTAACCAATTTTAACTAACATTTTTACTTACATAATTTGATTATTTGTATCTTAAAGAAAAAGCCCAGGAAATGCATCAGAGAGTGAAAATGAACGCAAATATTAGAAATCTAAAGATCTAGGTTTATTTGAAAATTTGTCAAATTAAAAGGATTTCTTGACTATGTGTCATACCATAATTACTCAATTCCTTATACATTATTGGCGTTCATTAACACTCAACATAAGGAAAGGAAAATTAGATACATAGTACAAATTTAGATACATTGTATAAATAAAAATTTTAATTAGGTACTCTTCCCTAATTAACAATTATCCTCAATCGGCGAAAAAATCTATAGAAAAATCAAGAGAACTGTTCTTTTTAGTCTTTTGTTTTTATAATGCAATCTTTTGTCTTATTGTTTAACCTATAGTGTTTATTTTGAACTTGATGGCTAAGATCTACCATAACTATTTACCCACTACTCTTAGCATTTGGTTTAAACCTCCTTCAATCCTCTCTAACCCTAGCCGCCTCATCTCTTCCTTCTCTCTTAACCCTAAAAACTACTCTCTCGGATCTCTCTCTCTATCACACGTTGCGCACACTCACAATTGCTGTAGGGTTTTATTTACGTGTCATTCACGAGATGTTTTAAAGAGACGAGAGTACTGAATCAATTGTCTATATATGTTGCAATCGAGTCTCCTTTTCTCTCTCTCCTTTCATGAGATCAATTTTTCCATTGCTTTTGTTTGTGCCTTGTGGCTTTGTTGAGGGTTTTTTGCGTGTGCGGATGGTGACGTTGGTGGAGGATCCATCATCTTATAGACTAATTAATGGTGAATCGTTCAGATCTAGAATTATCGCGAAGGTACTTTTGAATCAAAATCATCAACTATTTCAATTTTATCTAGATTTGGGATGAAATGCTTTGTGGTTAGCGAAATGGAAGGTAGTGGTTAAGTCTTTATGGTGATGATGGTTCGGATCTTGAAGCTTTCTTGTTCATATTGTGGCGGTGTCATTTCGACATTTTTCTTTATTTTTTTTGGGTGCCCTATTTGGATTTTGGCGTCCATTTTTTGTGTGTGTTTTTTATAGTTAGGCATAGTTTTTGTTTATTTTGGATCTAAATCTTTGTATTTGTTTTGTGTTTTCTATTGTACTATATTTGGTTTTGTTTAACAAAAATCAATTTATTGTGTTGGCATTTGCTTTCTTTTGTGTAGTTAATCATCAAGTCAGAGAAAGCTTATGGCAATGATGAAGATGAAGGGGATAGAAGTATCATCGAGTCTTATAGCATGTTGATTTTTGCCTATCAGATCAACGATATACCAAAGGTATATTAATAAATTAATGAGTGTTTTGACTGATATATGCTTTAGCAAGAAACTTAGGCATTTGCCCCTGTTTGGTTCTCTAATGAAAGCACCAACAAGTGGATTTTTTTTTGTTTTTACATCTGAATACTGTAACTATTTCTTTTCTTCAGCTTTGGTTCTCTTTCGGTTAGTTCATTTGTAAATTGAATATGATTATTTCATTGGCCATGACATCAAATGAAAGTCGTCATTATTGCAACAGTGATTGATCACAAAATAATGGTAAAAACTGTTGATTTATCGTAAATATTTTGAATGGAAAGCTTAATTCGTAGATATCTAGAGGAATTTTGTCAAGCTGCTATCCCATTTCAGTAATCACCTCAACATAATTGGTACCCAATTTATACATTTTCTGAAATAAATATTTTAAGAGTTTTCGAGGAGTTAAGCTAATTTACAAGAAACAGGTTAGCTGGAAATTTTGTACAGCAGTGAAACTATGAAATCTCTGAATTGAATTTACTTTTTTACAGCAAAAGAGTTCTTCTAGTGAGCGATTCACCTTTACAAAGCAGTGATGGAGCTGGAATCTTATAATGGAGACTACACTTTGAGGTTCCCTAATCAGAAGATCTCTGACTAGAAGAACAGATGACAATGTGTGGGAGAAAAGATGACTAATAGAGATATATACACTTGGAGAAGTTTTTGGAGAGCTGGGGATAACAATGGAGCAAGTATGAATCAGGAATAGGATGTTTGCCAATCAAATCAAGGATATACCGAAAGTACATATACTGATAAGTATACTTTTTAATTGTACATTCGTTTTGATATATTTTTTACTTGCATTGTAACACAAACCCATACATTTCTTAAATAGTTTGTAATTCAATTTGAACTGCAAACTAAATTTTATATTAAGGAGCAGAGGTAGTATAATACTCTTGAAATAATGTTGGTGTGGTTTGCAGATAAATCACCAGCGATATTTAACACTCATCATACAATTTATTCTGCATGTCCAACTTTGGACTTTACATCCTTTCAATAAATTCATCACATGTTAGACCAAATGAAAAATTCTTCATTTGTTAATTGATTATAGCTATTTAAGATTATGTTCGTACGAAGGCCATGAGATTAGATCGAAGGACAATGCGGCTACTTATTGCGGCAGTAGTGATTTATTAACTAAAAATTAAAGAATGGTTAAAATAAATGATTTAGTTTTATTTTGAATTGAAAAATTAATGGGCATCTCTCCGAAATTCTAAACCTACTCTACTACTTCAATAATCCTGATAGTATGTTTGGTATGAGGAAAATGGAGGGGAGGAAAATTTTTAATAAGTTTAATTTGAAAAAAATAAAAACTATTAAGGTTATAAAATTTTAATAAAGAAAATGTATGAGATAAAGGGTTAAGAAAAATTAATTAAAAAATGTTAATATCGTTTCTTCAATATTTTAAATCGAACTTATTAAAAAAAAAAAATTTAAAGGCACCTATAGGAGTAAATTGTGTTACTCCTCCTTGTTAATGTATAAGTCCAATGGGCTTTAGTTGTGTCCAGCTCTCACCATCTGTCAAGTTGGCAACTTGTTGAGTCTGTAACTAAGTTTAGTTGTGTCCAAGTACACAAGATGGTGATAATGAATGGTATTTTGATTCTGGTGCAACTCAACATGTTGCGCGCACTTCTGCTCAAATTCAACAACCTTCTGCTGTTTATCATGGCTCAAGCACAGTGGAAGTAGGTAATGGTCATCCTCTACCCATCACTGTAGTAGGAAACTCTGTTTTGCCTGCTACTAGGCCGTTACATCTTCATAATATTTTGTGTACACCACAAATGAAAAAGAACTTGGTGTCAATTGCTCGTTTTACCAAGGAGAATCAAGTCTCTGTTGAATTCTTTCCTAATGACTGTATTATTAAGGATCTGCAGACCTGAGTGACTTTGGGGTGTGGCTATGAGGTACGCGGCATGTACAAGTATCAAAGCGCCAAGTCAAGAGCTCAACAACCAGGTTCATCAGTTCCGTCTCCCTCATGTTTTGCAGCATCTATGACAAGTTCCTTAGAACTCTGGCATCGCAGATTGGGTCACTATGGAAGTTACAAAAAATTTTTACAGTCAAATAATGTACCCATTCCTAAAGATAGTTCTTGTTTTGTGTGTACGGCATGTCAAATGGGCAAGAGACATAAACTACCTTTTGTATCTTCAGATACAGTTTATAATAAACCTTTTGAGTTGATTGTGGTAGACTTATGGGGACTAGCCCCGATTGTTTCCTCTGGTTACTCCTACTATATCAGCTTTATTGATGCTTATAGTCGCTTTGTCTGGATTTATCTTCTGAAACAAAAATCTGAAGCTCTGCAAGTTTTTAAGGAATTTAAGTCCAAAGTTGAAAATCAATTCCACACAAAAATTCAGCAATTTCAGTCAGATAATGGTGGTGAATTTTTAGTGTTCAGTAAGTACTTGGCTTATTCAGGCATTACACATCGTTTTTCTTGTCCATATACTTCAGAGCAAAATGGACCAATTGAAAGGAAGCATAGGCATATTGTGGAAACTGGTCTCACCTTGCTTGCTCAAGCCTCGTTACGTCTGTACTACTGGCCTCATGCATTTACTGCTGCAGTCTTTTTAATCAATCGGCTACCTTCTCAA